TTACATATATAAATGCATGCATACATATATACAAATACATATACATACATGTATACACATACGTGTATGGTATAAGCATACGTGTATGGTACGTATATTGATATTACCTGTAATTTTCTATAAATTACAATGTATGCAGTACGCACAATTCCTTTTCTCCCTTATCAATAATTGAGAAAATAGCAAATATATTCAAACAACCAGCTGTATATTTTTATATATATAATATAACAAATATTATATAATATACAAAACATTTTTATGCATATATAGAATGGAATGGGCCTCCATCGCCCATTCCCGTGAGAACTAAACCATAATATATGTATTTTTCGTCTCCGATTTTGCAAATGAGACATTTGTATTAGACACTTTTTGCAACAATCCCAGCAAACACCGATATATAATTGTTACATTGCTATAATAAAACGGAATATAACACGCAATATAACGCAAATGTACTACGTTATATACACGTTAGGAGTAATTTCCTACTCATATAAATTACAGATATATAACGTTAATGTAACATAAATTACATGTTATATAACTTTAAAAATTATAAAATAATTCTATAACTGCAATATAAATTACAGAATTGTTATAAAGCTATTATGTATGTGTTATAAAGCTGTTATATTTATGTAATAAGACTTTTAAGTTTACTTGTTACTAAATTGTTGCATATTTAATTGAGAATAAAATTTTAATTATTATATTTACAAACGCGAGATACTACAAATATCAAATTCTTTAATTAATTTCAAGCAAAATTAAATAAAATTTTATTTAATTTTGCTTGAAAATAAATTGAAAGATTTGATATTGGTATTCGCGTTTGTATAAAATATAATTAAAATTTTATATCAATTATATTAGTGTTGTAACAAATATGCAATTATTACAATTTTTATTTTTATTATAAGGTGTTAATAATACATAAGTTTCTATAAAACTCTTTTATTTATAAAATTTATATTTTTTTATGACATATGACGTTTTATATTTATAAAACGAAATTTATATTTTTCATTACATAAGATGGGCACAACGGATAGCGGGAAAGGACGGTCGGAAGCGAGACGATAGATAGGCACTACACTCGACACACGCGTATCGTTAACAAAAATATATTTCAACTATTAACAAAATTTACAATTGTTTTACCGCACAGAAATTACCAAAAGATAGCCGAGTCGAATGTATAAGAAATGAATGCAATAAACGAGAGAAAAGCCGGGTCGAAAATAAATTACTGACTGTTCCGCAAGCAACGGTAATTAGACGAGAAAACCGAAAAGACAAGCGATCTTTTTCGGAAAGTAGAAGCACACTCTATTCGCGACGAGCAATCGGAAAGAGCCCCGCGGTCACGAGAGAGGAGGTTTATAGGCCCGGATTTCGAGAACCTTCGCGAACATTTTCCCTTGTTCGATCGAGATGTTAAGGGCGAAAGTACGTTTACGATAATTATTTACCTTTTAGCAAGTCATATTTTGTTGTTATTGGCACTTGATTTTCTCTCCTCTCGCGCGACCGCGGTGTTTACGATTAAAGTGAAAGTTAACGCAAGCGCTTCTTTTTTCGCAGGCGCGAGGTATATGTATACTTGTGCGGCCGAGCGCGATTTAAATAATATTAAAATCTGCCTGTTACAATTTAAGGTTTTATATACGTAATGCTAGTTATGTGCATGCTGCATGCTTATATTGCATGAATTTGAATGTAATACATTAATGCCCTTCCTTTCAGTTTTCTTTATCCGTTCGATTTCGAACATTCCGCCCGCCTTGCAGTACACCTGCAATATAAGAACCGTAGCGCAAAGTAAGGGCGCGCGCCTATTCACGCGCTAGCGAGTGACTGGCACGTGGAGCGCACGTGCTCCGACGGAATTTGTCAATAGAATGCTGAGCCGATCAGCAGTTTGTGTCGGGCGTCAGTATAGACGCGTGTCGGTTAAGCGTCGCGAAATTCGGAACAATCTTTAGTGTTCTACCTGTAACAAAGTATGGTGATAACATGAGTGCAACGATATGACGGTGATGTGCAAATGAATGTGAATATCTAATAGCGGAAAGTGTGAAGTTTTAAAATAGGTTAATCGCTTACGACGTGTGATTTCGATTCGAGTGAAACTTCGGCGCCGTCGGTCAAAAATACTAACTTGCTTACGGGTCGCGTCAAATTGGTATTTGCGGTACGTAGTTCGACCACGCGCACGTGGCCGTCGGATCCCGGGTGCAAGCGCGTGACGCGCGCGAGCGGCCACCTCGTTGGTGGAGTATGCTCGCTTCGAATCAAACACAGCCGACCGATGCAAGCCTCCTGGTTGACTCGGGACCATTTTGGCCGATGGGCCAGCGTATGTAAGTACTCGCTGGACCACCGGGACCAAAATGGTCCCTCATCTGTTGCAGGAGCTGCCAGCGCGATAATCGGGCCGAAGGTTCTCTCTCGAGCGACGGTTCCGGTACGGCGGAGAGCGGAACCGATTAGGAAGTGTCCCGGGGTGAGAGCCGCTACGTCCTCAGGATCATCGGACAGGGGCTGCAACGGTCGAGAATTGAGGCAAGCCTCAATCTGTGAGAGCAGCGTCGCCATCTCCTCATAGGTGAGCCGGGCATCACCTATTACTCGTCGCAGATGGTGTTTCATGGACTTCACAGCGGCTTCCCACAAACCGCCGAAGTTAGGTGCCGCCGGTGGATTAAAATGCCACCGGATTTTCTCCTGTGCGGCGAAGGCGGCGATGCGGCGTCCGTCGGCACTGGCAGCAGAGAAGAGAGCGCCTAGCTGCCTGTCAGCACCCACGAAATTGGTTCCGCAGTCGCTGTACAATGAGATGCAGACCCCACGCCTGGAGATCAGCCGGCGCAAGGCAGCGATGAAGGCGTCGGCGGAGTAATCCGAGGCTACGTCGAGGTGAACGGCTCTAGAGGCTAAACAGATAAAACGACAATAAAACCTTTCGTTGCCTTGTGTCCGCGACCCTTAGAGGTTCTCATCCAAACCGGTCCGGCGTAGTCGATGCCGGTGTGGAGGAACGGCCTGCTTGGTTTGACCCTTGGCTCCGGGAGGTCGCCCATGAGAGGCTGTGGGATGGCGGCTCGCCATCTTATGCACCTGACGCATCGGCTGATGCGTCTCTTCACCAGCGAGCGACCTCGAGGAACCCAATATTCCTGACGTAAAGAGCACAAGGTCAGCTGCGTCCCGCCGTGTAGAGTCCGCTGGTGGTGGTCATCGATGACGAGGTTAGTGAAGGTAGACTCGCTGGGCAGTATTAGCGGATGAGTGGCATCATACGGCAGGTCAGCGTTGCTGAGGCGCCCGCCGACGCGTAGGAGTCCCTCGCTGTCCAGAAATGGATTTAGTTTCAGCAGGGCGCTTCGCGACGGCAGCGGCGTTCCATTCGCAACCGTCTAATCTCTTCTTTTAACTTTCCAGCCTGGATCAATCTAACCCAGGAGAGGCGGGCTTCCGTCAGGTCGTCGGCGCTGATTTCGTTAGACTGGCTTTGAGGGTGACGAAGCTGGCGGTGGATCAGCCACCAGCGACGGCACCATGCAGTGATCCGCAGCAGTCTGGTCAGAGAAGAATAGCGCAGCAGCAATTCTGACTCGGGTTCCAGCTCGGCAACGGCGGCGGCGTGGGCCCGGACTCGTCTCTCTGGGAGGTCCTCCGTTGGAATCTCCTCTCCATTGTTTATCCACGGGCTGCTCTCCGTTGCTAACCATTCCGGACCTTGCCACCAGAGCGGGTGGTCAACCAGCTCACCAGGATATAGTCCCCGAGAAGCGCAGTCCGCTGGATTTTCTCGTCCTGGTACGTGATGCCAGTGGGCATCAGGGATCAGCGTTTGTATCTCGCTGACCCTGTTGGCCACATAGGTGGCCCACGTCGATGGATGTCCTCGGATCCAGCCGAGCGTGACTGTGGAATCCGACCACATGTGAAGAGGTGCTCTTTCAGCTCCGATGATCGGCAAGGTGTGGGCGACGAGACGAGCCAGAAGAGTCGCTGCAGATAGCTCCAGTCGAGGTAATGATACCTGCTTCAATGGCGCGACCTTGGTTTTGGCAGCTAAGAGAGTCACCTTAGTAATGCCCTTTGTTTTGCTCTTCAGGTAGATCACTGCGGAGTAGGCACGCTCGGAGGCATCGGCGAATCCGTGGATTTCCAACATTGATTCAGTCACACCTCCAGCCATCGAGGTACGATTACTTTTTCCAGAGCCGGCAGCTCGCTCTGGAATCGTAACCATCTTCTCGCTTCGTCGCAAGGTAGCGGAGCGTCCCAATCCAGACCTAGCAACCAGGTAGACTGGATGAAGATTTTTGCCAATATCGTTGTTGGTGCCAGCCAGCCAAGAGGGTCGAACATCTTCGCTGTCAACGAAAGTACCGACCGTTTGCTGAAGGTCGATAGTGTGATCGCTTTGGTAGCGAATGCGAAGAGATCGTCACGTGGTTGCCATCTTAGACCGAGCGTAGAGTGACTCTCGCCGGGCAGCCACCATCTAGACTCTTGTCGAAGCCGGTCGTCGGGCTCCACTTGGTTCAGTAACAGCGAATGGTTTGCCGACCATTTCTTAAGCGAGAAGCCGCCCGCCCTGCAGATCTCCATCAGCTGTTGGATCATGACCTCGGCTTCCTCCATGGTCTCCGCGCCTGCCAGGATGTCGTCCATGTAAACGTCGCTCAGCAGGATGAGAGCTCCCTTCGGGTAGCGATGTCCCTCATCCTCGGCAAGTTGGCGCAAAGTACGGATCGCCAGATAAGGAGCACAGGAAAGCCCGTAAGTAACGGTACTTAGCCAGTACTCCTTGACTTCGTCGTTGCTGCTCTCTCTCCATAATATCCTTTGCAGACATTGGTCGTCGGGGTGCACAAGGATCTGTCTGTACATCTTCTCGATGTCAGTCGCGAAGACGTAGCGATGGCGTCGCCAACTCAGTAGGATGTCGGCCAGAGAAGGTAGTAGATTCGGTCCCGTTGCTAGATATCTGTTGAGGAGTCTCCGTTTGGCAAGGAGCTCGAGCCGTTGAAGACTACCCTCAGTTTTGTGGAGGTGCTGTCAGGACGCAGGACCCCGTGATGCGGTAGATAGCAAGCTCCAGGACGCGTGGTAGTCGAAGGCGGAGCAGGCATCATGTGGCGCAGGTCTAAGTACTGTTGCATGAATTTGACATACATACCTCTGAACTCGCTCTCTCGATCAAATTTCTTCTCTGTATGTTGCAGAGCCCGGCGGGCGGCGCGGATTGTTCCAGAGAGATCCGGCAGAGATTCCGTCGTGGGCAGGCGCACGACGTACCGGCCATCGGCGTTGCGTGTGTGGTACTGACGATAGTGCTCTTCGCACTCCCGCTCGACCTTGGTGAAGAGCTGAGACGGCTGTCGAACCTCTTCCTGCTCCCAAAAGCGACGTACCAAACAGGTGAGGTCTTCCTCCACTTGGCAATGGTGGGAGGACATACGTTGGCAGCGTGTATTCTCGTTGATGGCTCCTGAGAGTATCCAGCCTAGCGAAGTTTGCTGTGCCACCGGTTCCTGAGGACCTCCCTTTTTCAGACCCTGGCGGATGATTAATCCGTAGACGTCGGCGCCCAGCAGAAGGTCTACTGGATCAGCGGAATGGAATTCTGGATCGGCGAGCTTCAGGTCCCTGAGATGTGTCCAGGATTGCAGGCTTCGGCGGCATCCTCCGGAGAATAGAGTCAGCTTCGGCAAAATCAAGGCGGAGACGGAGTTGGACGTCTCACCGTTGAGCGCTCGAAAGGTGAGCTTGACCTTGCCCTTGGCGATTCCCGTCCTTTGCTCGCCGAGTCCATAGACGCTGACGGCGGCAGACGTGCGAGGCAGTCGCAGTCGTTGAACCAACCGCTCCGAAACTATGGTCGTCTCTGAGCCCTGGTCGATCAGAGCTCGGGCGGAATGCCATGATCCGTGACGATCGAGGACGCGAACTCGAGCAGTGGCGAGCAGCACAGTGACAGAGGCGAAGGGCTGTCCTTGAGCCACGTGTGATGTCGTAGCGGTCTCGGCGTCGCGGAAGGCGTCGTGCAGAGAAGAAGTAAATAATAACTTAATATTACTTAATATTTAGTTATTATTTAACAAAAATATAAATTATGTAATAATAATGACGATTTGGCGGAAGGTACAACTTAACATGTTTAGCGACGCTCCTGAGATATAGCGTTGCCCGGAGTAACGACGACTCCGCCGTCGAGCCTCGACGGTAGTGGGGAGATCCACCCAGTCGCTCGCGAAATCGGCTCGAAAAGAGCAACTAATTCCGAGCACTGCTGTAGAGTAATGTGTCCTAAAAAGAATAATCCTAAAAAATCATAAAAATGAAAAGGTCAGGCCATGTTCAAAAGAAGGTACTCAAAAATTTAAACGATCTAATAATAATTTATCACGAAAAGTAACTGATATGTTATTCAAGGTGCCAGTTCAAAGTGAACATACGTAAAGTGTATATTATCTAAATTTAGTAATAATATATTACCATGAAAAGTAACTGTGATATTTTATTCAAGGTGCAAGTTCACATTGAATATACATACATATAAGTAAAACTGATTACAATTTGATTCTAGAAATAAGTGCGATATGTTATTCTTAGTGCACAAAATATAATAGTCGTTTATAGAGATTTGATTTGAAATTCATACTAGCCCGTACAATAAAAAATAATTGCTCGTAATTCCAGAGTACCAATTTGTTAATGACTCAGAAAAATAACATGGCGGCCTGCTCTCAAAAACTTTCGATGGGTAGAATAAATAATTGAAATAAGAGTTGTGAAAATTGTATAAATTAAAAACCTCCAATCTTTCTTTAGTAAAATTTCGAATTTTCGTATCAACTTCCGATTTGTGTTATACCGTATTTTCAGGGAGTAAGTTATTCATCAGAAAATATATATATATATATATATATATATATTTATCTAACTCATTTATTTTTTATCAATATATAATTTAATTAATTATTAAATTTAATAAACATTTAAATTATACTCAGAAATAAATATTTTTATCGGCTCTCAATATAAATAATATAAGTATGCTGTCTTCTAAGCTGGGCAATAGAGCCAAGGAAACGAAACGAAAAATTAATTAAACGGAACTGTATCTCAATTTGAGATCCCAAAGTTCCACATATAAATTAATTTCGAAACTTACATATGGAGAAATAAGCGAGAAAATATAGGTCCGAAAAGTCGCTGAAGCGGGAATCGAACCCGCGTCTTTCACTTTCCGGGCGACTGCTCTTACCAACTAAGCTATTCAGACCCTTTCGATCCTATATTTTTCATTTGCCTTTTTAGTAGATGTTAGTAAATACCGCCGTGATTAGCCCAAGGCGTGAATAAACTCAGAAATAAATATTTTTATTGGCTCTCAATATAAATAATATAAGTATGCTGTCTTCTAAGCTGGGCAATAGAGCCAAGGAAACGAAACGAAAAATTAATTAAACGGAACTGTATCTCAAACGGCAAATGAACGGCTACTAAAAAGGCAAATGAAAATATAGGATCGAAAGGGTCTGAATAGCTTAGTTGGTAAGAGCAGTCGCCCGGAAAGTGAAAGACGCGGTTCGATTCCCGCTTCAGCGACTTTTTGGACCTATATTTTTCTCGCTTATTTCTCCATATGTAAGTTTCGAAATTAATTATATGTGGAACTTTGGGATCTCAAATTGAGATACAGTTCCGTTTAATTAATTTTCGTTTCGTTTCCTGGCTCTATTGCCCAGCTTAGAAGAGCATACTATATTATTTAAATTATATATTGATTAAAAATAAATATTATATACATTTATATATAAATAATTAATAATTAATAAATATTTTCTTAAATATTATAATAATTATTAATATATAATATATTTAAATATATTAATACTCTATTTCTCTATATATAAATATTTTATTATTTTAATAAATAATTAATTATTAATTAAATAAATGATTTATAATAAATTTATAATATATGTGATATATGATATTAATTAAAAAATTTTTTTATTTTTATACAAAAGATAAGATAAACGTTTCGACTGTACGACAGTCTTTTTCAATATCATGCTAATATGTCAAAAATTAATTTAGTCATATCGACCTTATTATAAATACAACATTTATGAGATTATCATACGACGAACGCAGTACAAAATTCATGTTTGTTGGCTTGAGTTAGAGCGTCAGATTTATGTATGTCATGCTGTTATATTATGTAACGACACTGTGAACAAATTAATATATCCGCTCAAATATTACATTTTAGATTTTTAATAAATAGTATTAACTTACTTTTTTGTCACGAACATAACACTTTTTTTTTTTAAATTATTTCTTTTTACATAACATAATCACAATGTGTACTTTTTTAAAAAACAAATCGATATCTGTATCTCACAATGTCGGCGCGCTGTATATATACCCAATTTTTAAGATGACGTAGACAATTTTTTTAGAATATCAAAATAAGAACCGTCAAGACGCTCGGTGTCCTTTTTTAGGTTGATACTGTTGTTTTCTTCTTTAATATATATCATTTCTGATATCAACCTTTTATAATAATTCTTTTCATAATCTAGGATTTTTGTGTCGTTCCAATTGAAATTGTGTGTAAATTTTATAATATGATGAGAAACCACCGAGTGCCTTGCAGAATCTAATCTAATATTATTTTTATGTTCATTTACTCTTGTACCTAATTGTCTTTTCGTCTGTCCTACATATGTAGCATCACAATTATTACACGATATCTTATATATGACCCCCGAATTATTTTGGAGCTTATCCCTGTCTTTTTGCGTTTTTATGACTCTGTTTAATTTCTTTAGACATCTGTATCCTACTGTTATATTTGATTTCTTTAATTCTGATGCTACTAGTTCCGAGATTCTTTCAATATATGGTATCGCTATGAATTTTTTATTTCTGTCGTTATTTATGATTTCGTTATTTATATCTTGAGTCATTTCTTTGTTTAATCTATTAACAATAAGGAACTTCAGTCTATTATTGATTTCTGAGAAAATGAGATCAAGAGGATAACTATTGCTCAATAAAATCTCTATGATTAATGTTAAATTTTTACTATGAAAACGGGGATGTGATAATAATATTGACCGGTCTACTAAATTATATATTACACTTTTTTTGTGGCATATAGGATGATTTGAATGATATGAGAGTGTTCTACCCGAAAATGTTTTTTTCTGAAACCAATCTATATATATTATGTTATTTATAATTTTGAGTGAGATATCTAAAAAACTTATGCTACGGTTATCCTCTCTTTCTATTGTGAATTTTAATCTATCGTGACAATCATTAAATTTTTCTACTAGATATGTGACTTGATCTTCCGGCAAGCAAACCAAGATATCATCGACGTAGCAATAGTAAAACTTTATATTAACATTTATAGTTTCAAGAATTCTAGTTTCTACATCTTGCATGACAATATCAGCAATAATTGGAGATAAAGGCGATCCCATAGAAGTTCCATGTATTTGTTTATAGATCGTTTTGTTGAATGTGAAGTACGTTGAAGTCAAAATGAATTTAATTACATTAACAAACTCATTTTTGTCTATTGATGTGTGGTTTTCAATGTAATGCCATCTATTATTTATGCTGTCTATTGCAAGGTCCAAAGGAACATTTGTGAACAACGATATCACATCCAAAGATACGATTGTTTCATTATTATTTAATTTAAGATCAGACAATGCGTTGCACAATTCAAAACTATTATTAACATGACTTTTCCCTTTGGGTAAACTTGTCACTAAAATGTTGTGTAAATATGCAGCTAAATGATGTAGTGCTGTATTGACCGACGATACTATTACTCTGAATGGAACATTTTCCTTGTGAATTTTGGGCAAGCCATATGCTGTAGGAAGCACTGAATCACTAAAACTTAAACAATAATAGTCTTTTTTTGTGATCCATTCATTTTTTAACCATTATTTTAAATTTTTATTAAGGTCTTTTTCTATTTTTATTATTGGATTGTTTTTGATTGTCATATAATTATCTTTGTCATTTAATAATTCTTCAACTTTGTCTATATAAAATTCTTTGGTCATCGCCACGGTCGTGTTTCCCTTGTCTGCTCTTGTGAAAATGATGCTGGGATTTTGTTTACAAAATGTCATGGTTTTTTTATACATAAAAGTAAGTTTGTCATTTATTATGTCTTTACTAGTATTGTTGTTTAAAAAAACAAAGAACTGTGGAATAGCTATGTTTCTTATTGTCGTGAGATTAGTTATGTTATTCGAATTGCTTTCTATGTCTTTAATAAATTCATGGACAGCTGTTTTTTTATCAGTATTAATTGGAAGGCTAAAATCACTACCTAATTGCAATAAATTTGTGACATCAGTTGGAATATCTACATCAGTCAAATTAATAAACCATTTATCATTGGTTTGTTCTAATGGATTAATAGTTCTGTTTATAAAATTTGTTGCGTTAATGTGGTTATTAATATATTTATTATTTTGAGAGTTTACACTATTTTTCTCTGAACAAGAAAAAACTATGGGTTTAATATTATTATAGTAATCCGTTTTTTTTTTTGCAATAACCAACAGAATTTTTTCTTATTCTGATATCAACCTTTTATAATAATTCTTTTCATAATCTAGATTTTTGTGTCGTTCCAATTGAAATTGTGTGTAAATTTTATAATATGATGAGAAACCACCGAGTGCCTTGCAGAATCTAATCTAATATTATTTTTATGTTCATTTACTCTTGTACCTAATTGTCTTTTCGTCTGTCCTACATATGTAGCATCACAATTATTACACGATATCTTATATATGACCCCCGAATTATTTTGGAGCTTATCCCTGTCTTTTTGCGTTTTTATGACTCTGTTTAATTTCTTTAGAAATTTATAATAGTTATTAAATATATTCTAATTAATAAAATATTTATATATTTTATATAAATATTAACCTTATATTATTATAACATTTTATTATAACATATTATACATTTATTATTTTATACCATACCTAGATATACCATATTATCTAATTACTAAAATAATTTCTTTTTTAATTACAGTTTACAGAGGAAGACGCGCCGGAGTTCGCGTCCAGGAGGAGCGCTTTATGCGCTTCCTCCTTAA